GTCGATTTTACACTTTTTTGGTCCAAAATTTGTCAAAAAACGTGGATGAGAAAAATATCGATTCTAAGGTAATTTTTCATGCTGATTCCGAATTTCGGGGTTTCAGGTCAAAAAAATCATATCTTGGGGGTTTTTGACCCCCCGACCCCCTTAAGGGGTGAGGGGACTTGGAGGGCAGGGGTCATAAAAAATTTCTCTCGTCATTCTGAACAACTTTGTAGTACATTATTTTTTGATCCGATGAACTTTTGAAAAATTTGGGGCACCCCCACCCCCCCTGGGGAAAAATTCAAAATTCTGCTCCGATATAAATTTTCTATTTTTTATCCTCAACATACCCCCCGAAGCGTTTTTTGAAATTTTAAAATTTGGGGGGTGATCCTAGTTCGTGAGACACCCTGTATATATTATATATATATATACGAGGGTTGCTCCATAATTTTTTTTAAAAACATATATAACACAGTTGTTTTTTGTCGAAAATGGTTTTATTGTTTTTCAAAATATTCCCCGAGATGATCGATACACTTTTGCATTCGATGAAACCATTTGTCATAGCATTCGTGCCACTCCGAAACTGATATCTCCAAAACGTGTGTTTTGAACGCTTCAACTGCTTCTTCTGGTGTCGAAAATCGTTGACCACGTAGTTTTTTCTTCACGCTTGGGAACAAAAAAAAGTCATTGGGTGCCAGGTCAGGACTGTACGGTGGATGACCCATCAGTTCGATGTTTTGACCGGTCAAAAATCGAGTAGTTTGAAAAGATGTGTGAGAGCTCGCATTATCGTGATGAAGAATTATTTTGCGACGGTGGTTGTTTTTTCTTATTTCACCAAACACTTCGGGCAAACAAATGGTGGTATACCAATCAGAATTGACGGTCTTACGATCCTCTAGTGGAACGGTTGCCACATGACCACTTCTCCCGAAAAAACAGGCGACCATTCGCTTCGAAGTGCTTCTTGCTCGAACAACTTTCGTTGGGTTATCTTCATTTTGGAAGACCCATACAGTCGACTGCTGTTTCGTTTCGGGCTCATAGGCATATATCCACGATTCGTCACCAGTGACGATTTTATTAACGTCTTTTGAAGCACCACGATTGAATTTCTTGAGCATTTCTTTACACCAACTCACACGAGCCATTTTTTGTTCATCGGTCAATTTATGTGGGATCCAACGAGAGCAAATCTTTTTTACGGCTAAATGTTCATGCAAAATTGTATGTATGCTGTGGGATGAAATGCCCAAAGATGCCTCAATCTCACGGTAGGTCACATGACGATCTTCCATAATCAGTTTTCTGACAGCATCGATGTTTTGTGGCACAACAGCCGATTTTGGACGACCTGTATGAAACTCGTCTTTGAGCGAACTACGACCGCAACGGAATTCTCGGTACCAGTTATAAATTGTCTGAAGGGTTGGTGCTTCATTGCCAAAGGCCAAATGAAGTCGATCGAAACACTGTTGTTGAGATAATTTACTTCGAAAATCGTAGTAAATCATTTTACGAAAATCTTCACGTGTAAAATTCATTTTTTTGTTGAGTCGCAGTTTACCAGTCACTGTAAACAATACAAATAGCGTTCGTACGACAAAAGGTTCAGGGCACGAATACATACCAAAACATCAAACTTTACGAATATGACAATGGTTTACATCGGGCAACACTATAAGTACCATTTTAAAAAAAATTATGGAGCAACCTACGTATATATTGACATAACGCAAAAACCTGTGACTAGCATAAAATTGACGGATGCATCGACTCTTCAATGCATCACTAAAAATTCTACACGACACACCACATACTGCTCAACATCATTCATTCGTATGCACATGAACTTTCGCTTGAATGCATGCACCCGATGAAATGTGTTGCAAAAACTATGGTAATGCTCTCTAATTTTCATCCTTTAGCATTTTGAATGGTCTTTTTGTGTGATTATATTCATTACGTCGGGCATTTTCTTCATTTTCATTCGTCGAAATGCAATCGCTCATTTAACTGAATTCCAGCCAAATCACTGCATATGCCCTGATTCACGTTCTCTCCATTATCTTTACGATTATTTTCCTCACTTTTTTGTATTTTGCGTTGATTTTTTTTTTGTGTTAATAAATTTAATTGTATTTAATTGCTGAAGCCATGGATTTTACATGCTGAAGCTTTTGTTTAAAATGAAAATTTCACAAATAGCGAAACACCATCAGTGCATCTGTATTTTTAAAACACGCAGTAATTTTACATATAGTTATTTTATAAATCCTTCATCAAACATTTCATTGCCGCAAAAAGAGATATTTTCCAGAACCAAATTATCAAGGTATTTAATTACGTAGAAAAAAAATTAAAACCTCAGTACTCACTTTTTTACAACGAGCCAACGCGACAATAGTAATTAAATTGCCCGGTATCCCCACCTGGGATGAAATATTATTTAAAAAATATTATTAAAAATGTTATTTCTTATAAATGTTATTCCCTACCAAAATGAAAACGATGCACGCAGCTGTTGCGAAATATAGCAGTCCAGTCGGATAGTTCTGGAAAAGCTCCTCGAATGGCGGTGGTGTTACTGATGACAAACCTACACCAAGAGTCCAATCCAATGCAGCAACAGCATAAAAAGTTGCAAAAAATACGATTAATGGAATTTAAAGCTTGGAAATTTACTGTATGCACAAACTGAGACGGACGAAAAAAAAAGAGTAGAGAGATATAGAATGATAGAATGAGGTGCAAAGGGTTAATGAAGTGCAGAAATGAGTGTGAAAACTTTACAAAATTTATATTATAACGTTTTTACTGCATAAATTGGTCTGAATTAATTAAACATGCCTTGTTCAAGCGATTAAAATCAAGCTTCGTCAGTATTGAAACTTTGGCATTGTTTCACTCATGTGGGTTGTGCGAGAATCATTTTCTTAAATAATAATAACAAACAGTTTGCTGTAATATTTGGGTGAAAATTTAAGCCAAAAGTTTTTAATCTAATGTGCGGCGCGTGTGGCATCTATGACAAGAATCGAATAATCAAATACAGTGGCAATGTCAACTTACAATATAAAAGAAAAGATTGGAAAGAGAGTGCGAGAATGAGAGCACTTTTGGATTATTTATTATAATTGTTAAACCAACCGCCAAATAACCCATTCTTGTGTTCCATTTTTCCCACCATAACATCATCACAAAAAGGGTTTTTTAAGATGAAAATTGGCGTAAATATTTGTACTCGTGAATTCATTTTATCTGACACATTAATTTGTTAACGTTAGCTCGAAAAATGATTCTCGCATAAGCCATTTTTGTTAGCTTTGTGCTCTTGAATTGAAAGAATAACAAAAACTAAATTGGGAACTTTCTCCACTCATGTTTTTCCGTTTTCTTTTCGTTTATACACAAAGACACTAGAAATAAATGCGATTTGTTGTCGTTGTTTTTTTTATTTAAAAAAATGGAATCACTAACCATGGTCGTCGTTCCAAGCGACTGTCGTTAGATTAGCAGTGTCGCTATTTGCTGCAAACACATGTGTTCCTACGGATTTTCCCATTATCCATTCATAAACATGTAAATTTTCTACGTTACTAAATTACCGTCCCTTTAATCGTCTGGAGCAGGGAATGGTAGTTTTTCTCTTAGCGTCTGTTATTCTGAAGAAATTACTCGTTTGATCAAATATTCTTTGTACGAGCTTTGTTGTCACAGGATTAATTTTTTTTTCTTCTAAATGTACGAGTGAATGTACTTTAATTTTTTCACTAGTAAACAATGCAACGTATTTCGTGCTGATTGCATATTTAACAAAATCGTTGTCTCGTTGTCTTTTTCGCTATTCTTACATGCGTCATTGAATTATATTCATCCAAAATGCATATGTTCCGTCAAGGTTTTCTACCATTCTTCTTTTCCGATGGCTCCAAAGTGTTTAAGCCACAAGGAAATAGATGAGTTCCATTTATTTCGATTTAGCAACTTTTTCTCTCGTCATCATTTTCTTCATACAACTTAGACACGAAAAACTTCACATTAAATAATGCGTTGGTTGTTTCATCGCTTCAACATGTGTCTTCTAACACTTGGCTGCAATGCATGAATAACCTTATGATATCTGAAACGAAAGAATGAAATGGGATTAGATGAAAAAATAATCATGTATGAACAAGAAGGCATTTCGACTTTTCCATTAAGAAAAAAAATTCATGTCGTTCTCGCAGAACTTGATGCTTTAAATAAATGTTCGAAAACTTAAGAAAACATTTTTTTGTATACACTTTAAATTTCATTTTCGTTTATTTTCTTGGTGTTGTAATAAATAATACTTGAGTGGGTATAAGACGTTAACCGAATATATATTCTGATTAAGTAGGACATAAAAAATGATCGAGACATTGTAATATTAAACTGTACTATATTACACACACGGGAATAATGTATAGATTATTAGTATAAATGATTTTTTCTCTTAAATCTATACAAAAGTTTAGATATCTCAACAAAAATTTATTTTTTATTAAAAAAATATTTTCTCAATGTCAATAAATATTGCGATACATATTTATCAA